TGCGTTCGAAAACATCACCCGTGTGTATTTTGTCACACTCAGATCGTTCGAAAACCCCTAGTGGGCACACTGACCATGCGACCATGGCCGTTCGAAAACCGTACTCCGTGGACCACTCGTGTGACTTTTCTCCACTCTCTTTTGCGCGGTGTAAATCGGTGGAGATGGTGGAGAGTGTGCAAAGAGTACAGTATGAAATTACAAAATTATTTATGGTTTTTTGTTCTTCGAAACATTCATTAGCCATCAAAATAAAAAATTTAAATACAGCAGTGTAGGTTAGCCAGGTTTAGGTTTATTTCTATAGTGATGTATATTGTCAGAATATTGTCTTTAAATATAAATAAAGCTTATTAAGCTTTTTGTATTTTATAGGTTCTGAAATTTTCTTACGAGATACGAGGCACGTTAAAAGTCACGAATCAGTAACAATTTGTGAAAAAAAATGGAAAATTTAATCCCGGGTCGTCATATTTTATGCATGGATATTTAAAAAAATATACAAAAGGATGACAAGGGAAATGTCTATATATACGATGTTAAAGGTAAGGAGTAATAAATAAGTTTATAAATTTCCTTAGGCCTGGTGCCCACGATGCTAGAAATCGATCCGAGTTCTCGGACCGAGGAATATATAGCCAATTAACTTTCCAGATAACATTTTGCTTGCACAAACTTTTATAGAAAAGCGACAATTTTATTGGCTACACATTTCTCGGTTCTAGTACTCGGATCTATTTCTAGCATTGTGAATACCAGACCTTAGTATTTGACTAGGTTAGATGATTTTAAAAACGCTTTCGATCAGCCATTTTGTACAACACATATGTAGGCAAACACACATGTAGTATGTCACATTGAGCATTCTTCCATGGCTATTCGAAAATTCCTCTCGATACCAACTCCACTAACCCCACCAAGCCCATCCACCACAGCCACTTTCCGTCGTGGACTTTCAGTGTTTTCGAACGCACCCCTGTGTGCAGGAGCCATTAGGGTGCAATTACATGAACGTACGGAAATACGGAAATTT